AGCTAGAAATACGACATAAGAATAATTTTCATTTGTGCTCTAGCTTCGGGAGACCAGAGGCGCCCAGGGAGGGTGGGAGGAAGCCCCAGGCTCACATCGTCCACCCTCTCCTGCCCAGATGGATTTCCAGAAGCAGGGAGGCCCCCTCTGGCGATCACCAGAGTAGGAGGTGCGCACCTTACTATCTCAGCCCAACCGCAAGGTGGCGCCAGAGATACCTGAAGTCCTCCGGAGTCGTTCATCTCTATGATCCCCGCTGCGGCCTGAGCAACCCGGAAGCCGTCGCTGGCCAAGGAGTGCTTCCGGGTAGGAGCTGGGTGACCCTGGCTGCTGCAGGAACCTGCGGCGACAGCAACCATGGGGGCGCACCTAGCCCGGCGCTACCTAGGCGATGTATCGGTGGAGCCCGACCCCCTGCGGATGCCCACCTTCCCGCCAGACTACGGCTTCCCCGGACGCAAAGAACGCGGTGAGTCCCAGTGCGCAGGCGCGGCTGGCGGGAGTTTGGGGTGGGCGCCGGAACCCCTGAACCCCGGGGTCGGCTGGGCTCGAGCGTAATGCACTGTGTCTGGGTTCAGCCCTGACCTCGGCCCGGAGGAGTCCAGGGGGCGCGCGTGACCCTGCCTGAGTGTGGAGGCATTCCAGGCAGAGGGCACTGTTTGAACAAAAAGCCTGGGGGCAAAAGAGAGTGGCGACACAGGACCTAATGAAGCGGTAGAAGTTGGATTTAGTCCTGGAGTGAGTGGGGAACTATGGGAGGGTTTATCGCGGAAGGGATGTGCTTACTGTACCTCTGTCCAGATGTCGCTGCTATTTTTAGGTATGCTAGAGAAAACACGAGGGGGGCTCACGCCGCACATACTGTTCTGCACGTTCCTTTTTTTATTCGTTAATATCACAAGCATATCGAGCGCCAGTCCTGGACCAAGTCCCAAGTTGGGCACCGAGGATGCAGCAGGCACTGACTAAGGGGGAACTCACAGCCCTGTAGGGAAGACAGAGGAACCTGGCGGATCTTGATGATGGCCCCTGGGAGTATCAAGGCGGGCTTTCAGGAGACACTGACTGGAAGCGAGGCCTGCGGGAGATGCGGAGGAGTTGGCCACACCGAGACCAAGGAGAGGGGAGAGCTAGTGCTTCAAAGCAGAGGAGGGACACGATCAGATTTGCTTTATCAAAAGGTCACGTTGGCTGCCAGGTGGGCGACGACTTGGAGACAGGGAGACCCCTAAGGGAATGGGGTGGTGCAGAGAGGTGTGGATTTAGGAGAATGTTGGGAGGTACGGTCCTATGGTGTCTCGAGTCCTTGTAGTTCCTTCAGCCCCACTGGAACCTGCAGTCCATCAGTACCCCCACCTCCTTATCATGTCAGTCCTTCCCACTGCCCCTCACACCCTGCTTTCCCATTAATGTTTTGCAAACACCCAGAGCCGCCCCACCCCATCCCCTCCTCTGTCTTGCTTAACCAGAACCCTGGTTAAAGCCAGCTCTCCTCCGTGGCTCCTGTCCCTGTGCAGCTGAACATCGTGGGAGAAAAACACCCATCCTCCCTGACTGGTCTCCCAATTGCTCCCCCAGTTGACTCTTCATGCTGCTGTTTTCCTGTCACATTCCCTGGCCCTTCGCTCTCTCGGGCTCCTTCCTAGACCGTGGTCTCACGCCTTCTCTCTCAGACCCCAGCACCTCCTTTCAGCTAGTCACTTTGTATCCTCTTAAGAAAATAGAAGCAGCCAAAAGAGCTCTTGTGGGCTCCCTTCATCCCTGCTTCCTACACACCCTGGACTCCACCTTCTCTCCTGTTAGCCCAGATGATCTGCCCCGGCTTTAGCTAAGCCTCTGCTCCAGGTGAGCCCTCTGATGCCCTCCATCCCATCCTCTCACCTACCCAAGGACTGCCCCAACCACTCTCCCTCTCTTGCAAGGTTGGTTTTCCCATCAACATGCAAATACACTGTTATTTCTGCTGTTGTAATATCCTGTCCTGGGGCTTCCCTGGTGGCGCAGTGGTTAAGAATCCGCCTGCCAATGCAGGGGGCATGGGTTCGAGCCCTGGTCCGGGAAGATCCCACATGCCGCGGAACAACTAAGCCCGTGCACCATAGCTACTGAGCCTGCGCTCTAGAGCCCGCGATCCACAACTGCTGAAGCCCGCGCACCTAGAGCCCGTGCTCCGCAACAAGAGAAGCCCGCGCAACGAGAAGCCCACACACCGCGACGAAGCCCGCGCGCGGCAACGAAGACCCGACACAGCCAATAAATAAATAAAATAAATTTAAAAAAAAAATTTTTTTTTTTTTTTTGGCTGTGTCGGGTCTTCGTTTCTGTGCGAGGGTTTTCTCTAGTTTTGGCAAGCGGGGGCCACTCTTCATCGCGGGCCTCTCACTATCGTGGCCTCTCTTGTGGAGCACAGGCTCCAGACGTGCAGGCTCAGTAGTTGTGGCTCACGGGCCTAGGTGCTCCGCGGCGTGTGGGATCTTCCCAGACCAGGGCTCGAACCCGTGTCCCCTGCATCAGCAGGCAGATTCTCAACCACTGCACCACCAGGGAAGCCGTAAAAAAAAATTTTTTTTAATAAAAATAAAAAAATAAAATCTTTTCCTGGCCCCACCTCCCCCTCCAGCTACCTCCCCACCACTTCACTGACAGGGCTGTAGTCAAGCTTCCTCCCCAACCTCACTATGTCTGTATTGCAAAGCCCCGTTGTCAGATTCTCAGGTCTAACTCCACTATGGCAGCAGCAGGCACGGCTGGTCGCTGCCACTTCCTGGGAGCCCCTCTTCACGTGGTTCCAAGACCCCACAGCTCCCGCCCACCTCCCTGCCTTGTAAATGCCAAGGCGCCCCACTGCGTGGGTCTCTTCTGTCTCCACCCACTCCCACCACTCCCTGGGGGTCTTTGCTAGTCCTCTGGTTTCAAATGGCTGCTGTGCACCAGTGCTGGAGTTTTTATCTCCAGCTGGGCCTTGACCCTGAACCCCAGACTCATGGACCTCACTGCCTGCTTGGCAACTCCACTCCACATTTAACGGGCATCTTGCACTCAGCAGGCCTGAAACAGAGCTCCTGACCTCCCCTACCAACCCTGTGCCTCCCTCCAGCGCTGACCACCACATGTTCAGGCCGAAACCCCTGGGGCATCCCGCCTGTCCTCCCACTTCAGGGCCTTTGCACCTGCTGTTCCGCTCTTGGGGATGCCTTACCCGGGTGTCTATGTGACCCACTCCCTCACCTTCGTATGCCACCTTTTGACGGACCCCTCCATCTAAAGTTGTGACCCACCTCCCCACACTGCCTCTCTCTCTCCCTTATTTTCCTCCCTAATACTTAGCATTGTCAGGCATCCTACAACATCTAGCTCTACCTGTTTGTTCTGTGTCTCCCTCCAAGAGCAGGGAGGGATCCTTGCCTGGCATGTTCCCTTGTATATCCCCAGCACCTAGCACACAGTAGGTACTCCATAAATCCTGGCTACTGACTCATCATGCTGGAGTATCAGGTGTGAAGTGCCACCTTGACATGGAAACTGTCAGGGGCTGCAGGTGGACACAAGGCCTGGGACTCAACGATATACGGGGTGGAGACGGAAGCCATGAATTAGAATGAGTGGAGGGCTCTTAGCAAGAACCACCAGAAGCCAAGGCTTAATGTTTGGACAGCCATAGAGATGGGAGGAAACCTGGGGAGGGTGTGGCAGAGAGGGGGGCCACGGGAAGAGAATGTTCGAGAAAGGAGGAGCATCTAGGACCAAGAAAGATGGGGTAAGATGGGGGGGCAGGGGTTCCCTTGAGGATGCAGGAAGGCTAGGTCCTGTGTGCCCCGTGCTAGGTGGGGACAGAGCTCAGGATCACCATCACAGCGGGCGCGGGCTGGCTGGGGTGTGTGCCCACGATTACTGACGGCCCCCAAATGGGCCCCAGTTGAAGTGAAGGTTGATTTCATCCCCGTGGGGTTTACCAGGTGGGTGGGGCAGCAGGACGAGGATTATTAGTTCAGCTTTCTATGAGGCGGGCAGAAGCTACGCCTCCACTGAGAGGACAGAGCTGGGATCCAGGTCCCCCAGGCAGACACACAGACGCACACACACCTCTGCAGGGTGGGGCTGTCTGGGGAGTGACCCCAGGGGGAGGGGAGGCAAGAATCTAGCGTGGATTTCGAGGTGCTCGGTGATGGCAGGAGAGGGACCCTGCCCATCTGGGCCTCAGTGTTGGGGGTTGCTTTCGTGCAAATTAGAAAGCTATTCCTGGCCCTGGCTGAGCCCCCCCCCCCCCCCCCCCCCCCCCCCCCGCAGAGATGGTGGCCACTCAGCAGGAGATGAATGACGCACAGCTGGTGCTCCAGCAGCGGGACTACTGCGCCCACTACCTCATCCGGTTCCTCAAGTGCAAGCGCGACAGCTTCCCCAACTTCCTGGCCTGCAAGCACGAGCAGCACGACTGGGACTACTGCGAGCACCTCGAGTGAGCCCCACGCCCGCCCCGAGCCCTCACCCGGCCAGGCCCCACCTCAGTAGAAAGAGGAATCCCAAAGGGGCTGTGGGGTGGGACTGGCTGCTTTGAGGTGCCTACAGGAGTGGCCAGGCCCAGTTCAGGTGGGAGGCCCAGCTCTTGCTCTGGGCTCACTGGTGTCCACCCCAGGGGAGGGGGCAGACCCCAGAGTTACATCACAGGCACGCAGGTCTTCCCTACTTGCGACCCCCTGAGAGTCCCATCAGCTCCCCAGGCTACTCCTCCCTCCTTGTACTCTGCCTGCAGCTACGTGAAGCGCATGAAGGAGTTTGAGCGGGAGCGGCGGCTGCTCCAGCGGAAGAAGAGGCGGGAGCAGAGGGAGGCCAGAGGCCAGGGGTCCGGTGACGTCGGCCCCGAGGTGGCCCTGTAGCGGCCCCGCCTACCACCCTGTGGACCAGTCAAAAAAATAAAAGCCTCCAGGGCCCTCAGCCCAAGCTCCGCCTCTTTCTCTGGTGTGCTGCTTCCCGAACCGACCCCCAAAAGAAACACCGCCGAGTCTGAGCCCAGCTGGGCAGGCAGGTTTTATTCCAGACGCTGGAGAGCAGTGGTTCCCACTCCTCGCCCAGAATGACACTGGGGCGGGGGGACACGAGCCTGGCTTGGCTGAGCCTGGGTGAGGGGATGCCATTCAGAGCAGGAAGGGGATGATGGGCATGCGCAGGGGCGGGTAGTCTCGGAACTCCTTCAGGTAGCTGCGGTGCTTGCCCTTGGCCCAGATGGTCATCTGGGTGAAGCCCACCAGGGAGAAGAGGGCCACTGTGGGGTGGAGCAGGGGAGTCAGGGAGGGAGGGCTGCACACAGCAGGGACGGGCGGGGCGCCCTGGGGAAGGGGCAGCGGGCTCACCTGGGAGGCACTGTGTCATGATGGCAAAGCCAATCCAGGACCCCACCTGTGGGCAGAGCAGGCAGGGTGAGGGCGGGCAGGGCTGGGCAGCCCCAGCTGTTCTGGTAAGGGGATGGGAACCACACGCCAGTGCTAGAGGGGCCTGGAGTAAGGGGGCACTACACGGTGAAGCTGCCCCTCAGCCCCCAACAGCCACAAGCCCAGCTGGACACCTCCCAGGCCCCACAGAGGCCACAGTCTCCGTTTCCAAATGTTCCGAGTTCAAACTGCGGAAGCAGCTACGGAGCCAGGCACCGCCCCCTCCTAGAAGCTAGCCCTCCACATGGGACCCCAAGCCCCAGGAGGGAGAGGAGAGGAGGGCAGACCCTCACCTCGTAGGTGTAATTGGGACAAGACACCAGCAGGAAGAGCCATGTGAAGGGGTTCTTGGTGGGGTATGGGATCTTCCTGGTCTTAGACCCTGGGAGGACAGGACAGGAGTGAGACCTGCTGGCTCAGCGTGCCCAGGTGGCCATCCCCCCTGCCCGGAGCAGGCCACTCACCAGCTGGCCGCAGGTCCCGCAGGGCCATGTGGATGGAGAAGTTGCCGAGCTGGCAGATCTGTTAGAGAAGCAGGGTCAGCTCGGAGGTGCCCCCCAAACTCCCCGCACCCTGTCACCCGTCCCAGCCTGCTTACCACAAAGATGGCGAGCGCCAGTTTAACCTGCTGAGCTCCGTAGGCTGAAGAGGAAGCAGAGAGGGGAAGCCCGTGAGGGGAGAGCCTGGGTGAAGGTGTTCACAGGGGAAGCAGGGTCCGAGGCCACTTACTTGGCGGTGTGTAGAGAGGGTGGTTGATGTAATAGGCCATCCACGCGGCGAAGCCCCAGTAGTAGGTGCAGTTCTGAAAGGGAGCAGGGCCGGGATGGAGCCTGGCCCAGTGGAGGGCAGGACCCAGGTGAGGGGGACCAGGGAGGGTAGGGCCGGGGCTGAAGGACCTGGACAGGCAGCTGGGGGCTCACCTTGAAGATGTTGCGCAACGGCATGGTGCCGTGGGAGAAGCGGTGCACGAAGAGCGTCTCCAGCAGGCGCTTGATGTAATGGAATGAGTGGCAGATGCAGGCAAGGCTGGGGGCGGGGGAGCCAGTTCAGCGGGGGCAGGTCCGCAGGCCTTCCCCTCCCCCTGCCACCTCCTCCCACCCGGCCCCACTCACTGTACCACCGTGTGCCGACTGGACGTAAAGTCATATTTGTGGCCATAGATGAAGGGCACCCGAAAGTAGAAGAGCAGATAGATGAAAAGGGGCCCGGCGTACTCTGTCAGGAAGACCTGGGGAGGGGAGAGGTGAGTCACCCCAACGCGGCAGATGGGAGACGAGGCTGCTGGGAGAGGGGTCTGCACGCACCGTTACCCAGCTGATCTGGGCCCCCAGGTCCCGGAAGTAGAGTGTGGCTGTGGTGCCCACGGGCAGCTTCTGCAGAACATCCTCATCCTTCAGGGACTTGCCCTCTGCGGAGAGTCGGGCCAGGGCTCAGGGCCTGCCTGGGCCTTCGCCCAGGGCCACCCAGGAGCCCGGGGACAGCCAAGCAGACAGCTGTACTCACTGGGGTCCAGGCGGAGGGACTGGCGGGCGGGGTACCACTGTGGATCTGTAGGGAGAGTAGGGTGTCACAGCACACAGCCTGGTGGGGCCCAGGGTCCCTACAGTTCCTCCGCCCCCCGGGCAAGATCTCTGAAGTTTGTGTGGCTCCAGGACACAGACCGGAAGAGCAGGCAAAGCGGGATGTTGTCCTTCCCAAAGCCCAGCAAGGGCGTTCCTGTTGATGGCCACACGGGGGCGGGTGCCCCAGGCAAGCCCAGAGAAGCCTGGGCCACACTGGGGTTATCTCTGCAGGCCTTTGAGGGAGAGGCATGTAGGACAGGGTCCTACCTAGAGGCCCCTGCCCAGAGGGGTCGCGGGGGCAGTGTGGCTGGGCCCTGGACTTACGGCTCTTGGTGAAAAGGTTCTTGATCTCAGCAATGGTGGCTTGGGGCTCCACCTGGGGGAAACACAGGCCAGGCACCAGTAAGCCGTGGGCGGGGAGCCCGGGACCCAGAATCCCTCTTGGTGAGGTGGGATGGACTGGGGTCCTAGGCAACTGCTATGGGAGGGGGGAGCCGACAAGGCAGCCATGGGCCTGAGGGCCATTTTAACCAGGCAGCCAGGTCACCCCTGGACTGGCTGGGAGATGGTGTGAGCATGGGAAGCCAGGCCCACTTCGCCTCTCCTCTCCACCCCCAGCCGCAACTCCCCCCAGAGTAAAGGCCCTCAACCTGTTCCAGACCTCCCTGGGATGGGACAAACCCCTTCCCCTGGCCTGGCCTCGGAGTGGGGCCGGTCTCAGGACTCCACCTCCTTCCCAGGCCCCAGAGCCATGCAGGGTCCACCGAGGCTGCTTCACCTCCTCTCACAATGGGAGGCCAGCTCCCGGCCACACCCAGGGGCCAGGGTGCTCTACCCTGAGGAGCAAGCTGGCTGGGGGCAGGCCCAGGGACAGTACCCCTCCTGCACACCCTGAAGGGCAGGGGCTGGGTGTCAGGACCCAGGTGGAGGGGCACTCCCATCTCCCTGGTCGCAGGCCCAGCACCCTCGGGCCAGCACAGTCTGTACCGCGGTCCTACCTTGTCCAGGAAGCACAGCTTCTCCCGGGTCTTTGCGTCCAGAATCTCCACCTCAAAGAAGAGAACGGCCTTTTTAGGTTTCTTGATCGTCTTGGGGGGCATGGGCCGGGGGAGGCCATTGAGGCCAAAGACGGGGCCAAGGCCCTGGCTGGTCTCCCGGGCCACCACGCTCACGCTCAGGTCCATGCCTGCCCCGCTCTGCCCGCTGCAGCCAGAGGCCTCAGCTGCCGGCCGTCAGCCCCCACCACAGACCTCCCCACGCGAAGTGCTCTGGGCCGGGCCAGCGAGATCAAATTCTGCCGCGGTGCTGGAAGGCAGCCCGTGCCGGCCTTGGCTCCGCCAGCTTCTGTGCAGATGTAACCCGAGTGGCCCAACAGCCACGGCCCAACTAAATATAAAACTGCCCCACACTGAGTCCCCCAGGAGCCACGCCACAGACCTCCTGGGAGGGGGGACCTGGGGGCAGCCCTCCAAGGGCTAAGTTGCCCTGACTGTAAGGCTTTCGAGGGGACACGGACCCCCAACAGCACGGGGGGAAGGGAGATCCCCAGAAGAGGCATGGAGGCGCCTCCTGGCCTCCCTGCCCAGTGCAGAGCAAGGGCCTGTCACCAGGAGCAGGGTGAGAGGCCAACGGGCCGCCCAGGCCCCAGCTCAGGCCCACAGAGTTCACTGGGCTTGGAGAAATCCCAGCTATTTTGAGAATCCGCGAGATAGATCATCCATTTCCCCTTCTGAGCTGTAAGAGACACTCTGGATTATTTTCCTTGTGCATTTGTGTTCCCAGGGAGGTGACAGATTCCGGCGTTATTGGTGCAGAGAGCCTCTCTCTAAGTGTGGAACGGGTCAGGAAACCAGGAAGTTTCCAGCAAGCGCCCCCAGCCTAGGCCAAGACCTTGGCTCACACCTCCCTGGCCTCCCTCTCCACCCAATTCTCACTAGGTCCACCCAGGCCTTGTTCAAGGCCACCTCCAGGGCAGTCTTGCCACCATGTCAGCCCAACATAGCACCCTCGTCAGGCCCTGAGCCCCCCAAAGCCCAGGGCAGACAGCCTGGGCACCCCCCCCCACCCCGCTCCACTCCCCCTGAGCCCCAGGCAGTGGGGGGACCAGTGGTGCAAAGGGGCAGTGCTGGGAGGGAGGAAGCCCCCAGGGGAACGTGACCCACCCATCCTAAGCGGTCCGAGAAGGCACCTGGGCCCGCTGAGAACGGTGTGAACTGCTGGTGGAGCTGGAGTGAGGCCCAGTAGGGCCCGAGCCCACCACGTAGGCCTGAGGGCCCTAGTGTAGGGCTTGATGCAGATCTCATTAGACATGGGGACGTGGCAGGCAGGGCTGGGTCTGACCCCAAGTCGGCCACTGGGCAGCAGGTGCTGAGGACCCTTCCCGCCTGGCACTCCCTCAGTCAGAGACAGCATGGAGAAAAGGAGCAGATCTTAGAACCCCAGGGCAGGGCCCCAGACAGGGCTCTCTGAGGGCACACCCACCCACCTAGGGCCACGCCCCCCAGGAGGAAAGGGCTCCCCTCACACACACTCCACCACCAGTGGGAGACGCAGGGGGCATGGTGGGCAGCACACAGGACTGAATCCGGCCCTGCCACGCTGTCACTGGGTGACTCTGGGGCTGTCACTTCTCTCTGAGCCTCAGGCCGGAGGCAGGTAGGAAAGTGTGTACCTCGAGGGGCTGGCGTGGTACCTGACAGATGGGAAGTGCCCCCAAACCTCAGGCTGTGAGGACAGGCTTGAGGGGACCCTGGGCGCCTGCGATGAAGGGAAGGGGATGGGCCTGGGTTCAGATCCCGGCTCCCCTACTGGCCAGGGGGTCGCTGCAGCACACTGGCCTGTTTGCCCACCCATGCTCTACCCACCCCATGTCATGGATGGAGGGCAGGAGAGAGCCCAGAGCCCAAGAATTCCTGGCCGATGCTACTGTTACCACGCTAGAGAGTGCGCCTGCTGTCAACTGGGGGCTCTGCATGGCCACGTGGCCTTGGGGGGCAGGTTACTGAACCCCTCTGAGTCATGGGGATAACAAGGCCAGACAGAAGGGCCAGAAAGAGGGCGCTGCTCACACTACCCCGAGTGTCTGGCCCCACCAAGGGGACTCGCAAGAGGGAAGGGGTACAGGCAGAACGTGCCCAAAAAGGCGAGGATAGCACCGCCCTGAGCAGGCAAAGGGCCTGCTGCCCTGTGGCGGCAGGTATATTAATAGTTCCTGGGTCCCAGGCGGGCAGTGCCCACATGCCTTCGGAGCTCGTGTGGTCCGCAGGAAGGCTGCACCACGTCTATTGGGAGAGCAGGCCTCCGAGTTCCTGCTGAACCACTCAGCTTAAAATACAACCAGCCCCTCTCCCTGCCGGCCAGCTGCTGGGGGAGGGGCTGAAACCCTACCCTCTCCCCCCAACCTGGGCACCAGACCAGGACCCAGGAGGAGAGTATGGGACGTCGGGGCCCCGACTGGCTGCTGGGAAAGGAAGCTGGGCAGCGGGAGGGGACGGCCGGGACAGGGGCCACCCTCCCAGCGGCCGCCGCTGCCGCTGCTACGGCTGCCACCGCCACCAACACACCCAGGCCAGCTCGAGGCTGCAGAGGAGCAGCGGCGCCCTCACAGAGGTAAGCCCGGCCCGTGCGGCAGCACTCAAGGCCCCGGGGGCCACTGGGGAGTGGGCTGCCCCAGCTCAAGGCCACTGTGACAGGTTTGGTCCTCATTTCCCATTTCCTGTCCCCAAATCTCCACTGCAGGAGAGGTCTGAAAGGCCCTGGGCAGGGCAGGGGGGTGGGGATGCGGTGCGGGGGGAGCCACAGGGCCTCTCTACCATCGTACAACTGCCTGTGCCTCTCTAATTATTTCAGAAAAGTAAACATTTAAAATTTTAAAAGCCAAGTGGGAAGAAAAAAAAATAAAAATTATACATATATATATTTAGGTGAGAGAAGCCAGGTACAAAGGGGTCACATGTTTATGTGAAATGCCCCAAATAGGTAAATGGAAGGAGACAGAAAGCAGACTGGTGGCTGCCAAGGATGGGGTGAGGGGAAATGGGAGTGTCAACTAATGGGGACCGGGTCTCCTTTTGGGGTGATGAAAAAGTTGTGGAACTAGACAGAGACGGTGGTTGCAAAACACTGTGAATTAAATTCACTTTTAAATGGCTAATTGTACATCATGTGAATTTTACCTCGATAAATCTTTTTTTTTTAAAGGGTGGGGCTAGCAAACCGGTCCCAATTACCCATAAAGAGAAAAGGTCGAGGGACAGGGAGCAGCAGAGGCTACCCACACCTCCACCTCACCCGATGAGGGCCTAAATATGGGGGAGCCCATCACGCACTTCCCAATCTTCAGTCCCTGAGCTAACCCCCTACTCCCCACCCCCTGCTCTGCGCCCCAGCACACTCCCGTCCCTACGCTTGTCACACACACTCACACACCCCTGAGCCTGCCCAGGCCTGAGGCCAGCCTGGGGTGGGGGCCCAGGATAGGCCCAGGACTGGGGTGAGGGGCACAGGTGGCTGCTGGGCAGAGCCCCAGGCAGGGGTCCTGAGCACAGAAGGGGAGGCAGCAGGCTCAGGCCCTACCCCAGAGAGAAGGCAGGCAAGGGACAGGGGAGGAGTGAGTGGTGGGACTTTCTGAAGCAGCCGGGGGCAGCTCTTCCTGTCCCCATGGAGGGAAGGGGCTGGGGGGACAAGGGGGCAGTGATATGTTCGAAGGATGAATGAAGCAAAGCCTGTGAGGGTGTCACTGACTTGAAGTCCGGGCACTGGCCACAGGCAGGGGGTGTGGCCCCAAAGCCTCAGGCACAGTGGCCAGACAGAGGGCAAGGACAGGCAGGAGCCCTGGCCTGGGGCACAGGAGGCTGGCTCTACGATGACAGTTCCCCAGCCTGGGAGGAATTCTCACCCAGAGGCCCCAGATTCCAGGGCCCAGCCAAGGGCAACTCATGGCACCACGAGGTCAGGGCTGGACAAGGGGCAGGGCACAGCCCACCCTGCAGGCTGCAGCCCTGCCCCACCCAGAGGGGAGTACCCAGAGCCACTGCCGGGCAGCAGGGCCCACACGCTTCACTGCCTTCATGGAAATAAATATGGTGCTGATCAAGGTAGCCATAGTAGAAAGAGGGGTGCCCACTTTCTGAGCACCTGTTTCAAGCTAGCATGGGTGCCCAGAGCCTCAGGTAGACAAGGCTCCTGGGATGGTCCCCACGTGGCAGATGAGAAAACCGGGGCTCAAGAGTAGGAGAGGGCTTGCCTGGTGGCGTAGTGGTTGAGGGTCCGCCTGCCGATGCAGGGGACACGGGTTCGTGCCCCGGTCCAGGAAGATCCCACATGCCGCGGAGCGGCTGGGCCCGTGAGCCATGGCCGCTGAGCCCGCGTGTCCGGAGGCTGTGCTCCGCAACGGGAGAGGCCACAACAGTGAGAGGCCCGCGTACCGCAAAAAAAAAAGAGTAGGAGAGGCTAAGGGCCTTTGCACATGCTGTCCTCACTGCCTGAATCGCTCTCCCCCAGACCCCGCAGGGCTCCTCCCTAACCTCGTCAGTGAGGCCCTTCCTGTCAACTTAAAATGGCAACCCAGACATTTACCGTCTGCCTCCCACTGGATGGCTAGCTCCAGAGGGCAGGGACTGTCCCGTCCTCAGTCTCTTCCCAGCACCCAGGACAGAGCCTGGCGAGGAGCTGTTCTCCATAAGCACCTGCGGGAGGCACCTTGCCTCAAAGCCCCCTCCCCACCACCCTCTGAGCCAAGGCCTTTCCCTCACTCCTCCTTCACCACACTTGGGGGGATGGGGGCCTGCCCACCACACCAGACCCCAGAGCAGAGGTGGGCGCCCCAGTGCAGGAGCTGCTGCAGGGGGGCTTTCCCTAGCCTGGGCTGGTGGCCTCGCTCCAGGGAAGCCTCTGTGAGGCCTGCAGACACACCCACCCAGCTCCGGTGACCCTGTGCAGCCCAGCATTCTGGCTGCCAGACCCTCCTCCAAGGAGCGGGGCACTGCTCACCCACGGAAAGGGTCTCTGGTAGGCCAGCTCTGGCTTCTAGGGAACGCTGTCTCTCTTCACCCGCATCCCCAACACAGAAGGGGCTCCACACTGACAGGCTCCACACACCCTGGGCCCTTGGAGGCGGCAGCAACACAGGCACAGCGGCCCCTCACAAGGAGGCTCTGAGGTCAAAAAGACTCACCTATTTCCTGGCTGTGTGGCCCTGGATGAGTAACCCAACCTCTCTGAGCCTCCATTTCCTTATCTACAAAGTGGGCTTCCCCCACCTGCTATCTCACAGGGTCCCTGTAAGATTTACACATAATAACCACCACCATTCTGGTCTGTGTGAGGTCCGGGGCGGGGGGTGCTAGTGCACGGGGGTGCCGGAACAGAGAACAGCGGCACGTTCTGCACCAAGAATTGTGGGGAAAAACAGAGAACGGGGGGCGGGGGGGTCAGGGGTTCGGAGGATGGCCATTTTAGACAGAGTGGTCAGGGAAGGCCTCCCTGAGAAAGTACACAAACATGTCCAGTCTAGGATAATTCTTATGAAGAATAAATGTTATCAGACCGATACTAGCAAAATAGAAGTGGCAGACGCACAGGGAGCCAGGCCCCTCCTCCCCCCAAGTCCTCACCACGATCATGAAGGGGCCCAACCACACCAAGGTCAGAGAGGTGATGCAAGGAGCTGATGGCAGTGAGCCTGAACCCTAACAATAGCAAGACACGTGCGGATGGCAGAGGCTGGGCTGTGGCGAGCGTCCCTACTGTAGTTCATCACCGCCACAGCCGAGGCGGCAGCCGCCGAGACTGCCCCGCTCTCCACTGCCCCCTTGTGGCCGCGGCCTCTGCTCCCACCAGCTGGAAGGGTGTGCACAGCAGCTGGAGCTCCAGGTGAATGAACCGGGCACATCTGGTGCAGGATGGGATCAAGAGAGTGAACACTAACTCTGGCTCTGCCACTCACCAGCCAAGAGGCCTCGGGGAGCCACTGCCTCACGCTCTCTCCTTCATGCATTCATCCTTTCCTGCCTCCGCTCTTCCCCTGGGCACTGCAGTGAACAAACCCCTGCCTTCACAGAAGCTGCATTCCAGGCGTGGGCTGGGGGTGGGTAGGGACACACAATAAATAGTGGCATGTTTTGCACCAAGAGCTGTGGAGACAAAAAGAGAAAGGTGGCAGGGGTGGGGTGGGGGAGTATGGCCGTTTTAGACAGAGCGGTCAAGGAAGGCCTCCCTGAGGAAGGGGCATCTAAAAAGGCCAGTGGAACTGAGGGAACAAGCCATGCATACATCCAGGGGAAATGGGTTCCAGGCAGAGGGAACAGCCACTGCAAAGGCCCTGAGACTGGACTGTACCTGGCATGTTTAAGCAGCAGACCACTGTGGCAGGAGCAGAGTGTGGAGGGGGAGAGCGGGAAGACACAAACAGGGAAGTGATGGGGCAGATCTTGCAGGGGATCGTGGGCCACAGGGAGGACTCTGGCTTTTACGCTGAGTGAGGTGGGAGCCATGGAGGGTTCTTAAGCAGAGGAAGGATGTGACCTGACTCAGCTGTTCCTAGGCAGCCCCGTGGGAAATGGGAGACCAGGGCAGAAGCAATGATGAGGGCAGGAGTAGGGAGATGGCCATGGAGTGGGTGAGAAGTGGACAGACTATGAAGATGGAAGTGACCAGATGTGCTAATGGTTTGGATGTGGGGATGGGAGGCAGGGGTGGGTCTGAGGTTCTGACCTGAGCCTCAGAAGGGAGAAGCATCAAGTAGGAAGGCGGCAGGAAGGGTAGGCACCGCCTGAGCCCAGGCTGGAAGTTTGCAACTGCTGCTGTACCCCGTGGGAGCTGCTGCACAGGCGGGGCACCCGGGCCCCAGGCACCAGTGCCCAGAAAGCCTCCCAAGCCAGGAGCCTGGGCCCCTCTCAAGCTTCAGTTTCCCCATTTTCATAAACACAGCCAAGCCCAGTGCTCCTCAGGCCCCTCCCACCTGTAAACAAGATGCAGTGGCCTCATGGCAGAGTCTACATCCCCGGGCCTGGGACAGGGGCGGGCACAGGCCTGGGAGTCAGCTTGGACTCCTGGTCACCCTCACCACCTCCCGCTTCCGTGCGTCCTAAGATGGAACCTGCCCAATGGGTATGGATTAGAACCGCAGCTGCTTCCCAAATGCCTCTCCTCACCCTCTCCTTTCAATCCCCACGGCAGCCGAGGGAGCTGGAGCCATTAACTCCATTTCACAGATGGGGAAGCTGAGTTCCAAGGGGTGAGGAGTGCACGCAGCTCACGCAGCAGTAAACTCCTGAGCCCAGACCCCCACCACACAGCGGCCTCTGGGGCTGCACCCCCAGCCAGCGCGCCCCGCAGAGGCCCCCATGCAGTGAGGGTGCAGTACAGCACACCCTGCCTAGAGCAGGCTCGCTGGGACCCCACGGGGTCTGCCTGCCAGAAAAGGGCTCTTCAACCAGGATGCCTTGTGCTGGGCAGCCTGGCAAAACCCAGTGAGTGCCTGCAGGGGAGTGTGGGCTCCGGTGGGTGACATCTCCCGAGGCGGGGGCACAAGAGGCCTAGCTGAGGGTACAAGCCCTGCTCAGTGCAACCTAGAACTCCAGGCAAAGATGCAGAGGGCCCAACAGGTCCGTCAGCCGGCCGACCCGGGCACTCTCGGCCCCCAGAGCGCCCACACGGGGCACGAGTGCTGCCGCACCCAGAGGACGGAGGCCTGGCCTTGAGCAGCACATGCCAGACTGGCTCAGCCGCTTCACAAATGCAGAGGCTTGAGCATGTTCACCTACACTCAGCGGCTCAGCACTTTCAGCTCCCTCTCCCTTCCACTTTCCAGAAATATCGAAGTCACACTGCTCATGCCAGGGCAGCTGAGAGGACCTGCCAGGACACCAGCACAGGCCACACCTGCTCGGCCAGAAATACCTCCTTCCCCAGTGGCCTCACGCATGACCCCATTTCTCCTGGGGGGATTGCACAGCCTCCCTGAGGTGCCACAGTGGTTAGGGGGTGGGGGAATGTTGCCCAGGGGAGAAGGGGCAAGAGAGAGACTGACCACCCACTCCCAGGTCCTCAACCAGCCGGCTCCTGCCTCCCACCCCTGGTAGCCAGAGGAGAAGTGGCAGGGTCTGAATGCCAATGTCCCTAGGCTCTGGGATCCGGGGCCAGGAGAAGCTGGCAGAGCCCCAGGCAGCCCAGTAGCATCCAGCCTTGAAAGACATTCTTCGGGTGCTCGGGTGCCCTGGCTGGTTGCTGTGACCACAGGAGGCCCAAGATGAAGGAGATGCTGGGCCAACACAGCAGGACTCTGGGTCTTGGGCCTGAGAGGGCCATGCTCTTTGACCAGCTGTTTGCTGGTGCCCACAGCCCACACACCTCCCTGGGCAGTTACCGGCCTCTGGGGCCTCCAGGGGGCGCTGTCCTGGACAGAGCTGGGCTGCAAGGGCCTATTCCATTGGAAGTGCCGTCACTAGTATCGTCTATCAGATGCTTACTTTGGGCCAAGAACTGTGCTAAGACCTTTACCTGCACAACTCACCTAGCCTCACCTGCGCCTGTAAGCTAAGGTCTGTGACCCCACTTAGGTGGCTCAGAAAACCAGGGCTCGGAAACCAGGGGGCCCTCGCCCAAGGCACGTAGCCCAAGGAAGTACCAGAGCCAGCACCGACCCCGCCTACCTGTGCCCAAAGTCTCTCACTGCTCAGCGTCACAAAGCAATACCTCCTCCACTCTGGAGAACAGGGCCAAATGCTAACAGAAAACAAGGAGGAACAAACCCTGGACCCAATTATCTGGAAGGCAGCCCCCCCCCTCCCCGCTTCCCTGCTGACATTACAACTCCAGCACACCTAGTCTTCAGAGGTCTGGACAATGCAGAACATGTCACCTCCACAAGGAGCGCCCTTGAGAGGCTGAGCCTGCTTCTCCCCCAGCCCCAGCCTCCCTTGGTCCCAGCAGAGGCCATACCAAGGGCGAAAGGCCTGTCACCCCGATACCACCCAGAGGGGTTCAGGCAAGATTAGCAGCTCTCTCGACACTTCCTGCATGGTTTCCTGCCCCAGGCTAAAGCCACCAATGAGCCCGGAAAACCAATGCCATAGGGGTGGGGGGCTCCCCCAACACTGAGCGAGAGGCAGTGCTGCAGAGGCCAAAGTCAGACCAACCTCCCTGCCTGAGCCCTGTCTTCTCCACCTGGTAAATGGGAACGTTTGTAAGAGGACCTGACAGAGATGATTCCCGTGGCGGATGTGGCTAAGAACCCCGCCTAGTGGTCCTGAACCCTGCCTGCTTATGAAACCCACCGGAAGAGCCCTGGCCTGGACAACTCAAGACAAGGAGATCGGGATCTCTGATGGAGGGCCAGGCATCCACAGCTTCAAAAGCTCCCAGGTGACAGATGGAGGCAGCCAACTCAACCCGGACTGCCTTCCTCAAACAGGGTGCTGCCCTTTCGATGATGCCCAAAACCCTTACCACAGCTGACGGACACTGACTGACGTGCCCTCCCAGACCCTTCCAGCGGAGCCTCAGCCAACCCCCTTGGTCACTCTCTACCCCGTCCCTGCTCCCTTCCCCAGCACCAGCCAGCAGGGTGCCAGCAGCCAGCCTCCCCCAGCTCATGCTGGCCTGCTAGGTTTGCATTGTCACCCCACTTTACAGACGAGGCAGCCAAGGCTCAGGAGCCCCGAGGACACATGAGTTACAAGCTCCAGGGGCAGGGCCCTGCCTGCTTTTGCTCCTTAGAACTGAACGCTCTTCCTCCAGGGCTGCCCCTAGCCCCAGACCCCCGGAAGATGGCCCAGATCTGCACCCCTGCACCCCTGGCCGGGTCAAGGCTGGTGACCACATCCGGTCTCTCTCCATCTCTGGGCAGGAAGGCACTGTCAAAGCTGGAAGAGGTGGTGAGGCTGAGCTCTGCGGACACAGGCTGACCGGAGCGGCAGAAGGCGCTCATCCAGGCCGACCTACGCGCCCAGCACGCCCAGCCCAGGTTGCAGCAGGCAGGTCAGTCTACACCGGGGGAGTGCCGCTTGCATGGGACCCAGGTGGCCAGCCTTCTACCCGCAGCAGCGGCTACCACCTCCCGCGCGCTCACAACGTGCAGGCAGGGAGGCAAGTCCTCGACACAAATTATCCCCTTTCCTATGAATCCCCTTTTCCAGGTGAGGACACTGAGTGAGGCTCACTCATTCACTGCATAAACAGTGACTGAATACCTGCTACACGCCAGGCACTGGGAAGGACTCTGGGGGTTCGGCCCTGGAAGGAGAGAAAAAAAATCCTTGCCCATATGGAACTGACATTTTCACAGGGAACAAAGACAGTAAAATAGTCACACGTGATATGTGCCACATGGGAAAAACAAATCAGGAAAAGGGGACAGGGAGGGACAGGTGAAGGGAGCTGGCAGCTTCGTGTAAAGTGGTCAAGAAAGGCCTCCCTCAGGCTTCCCTGGTGGCGCAGTGGTTGAGAGTCCGCCTGCTGATGCAGGGGACGCGGGTTCGTGCCCCGGTCCGGGAGGATCCTACATGCCGCGGAGCGGCTGGGCCCGTGAGCCATGGCTGCTGAGCCTGCGCATCCGGAGCCTGTGCTCCGCAACAGGAGAGGCCACAACAGTGAGAGGCCCGCGGTAGAAAGGCCTCCCTGAGGGGATGTTGAGCCAAGCCCTGAAGGCAGTTAAGGAAAGGGCAGTTGAGAGATCTGAGAGCATGTAGGCAGAGGAATGGCCTGTGCAAAGGCCCTGAGGTGCAGCAAGCTTGGTGTGCTCAAGCAACAGAGCCAAGGCCCCTGTGGCTGGGGGCAGGGTGGGTAGGAAGAAAGAAGGAGGTGAGGGCAGGGAGGTGATGGGTCATACAGGGTCTCCTGGGCCAGGTGAGGACTGTGGCTTCTACTCTGAGTGAGGTGGGAACCACAGAGGGTTCTGGGCAGAGGAGGGATGTGACCTGGCTTGGGTTCTTAAAGGATCCCTCTGGACTATAGGGGAATAAGGATGGAAGCAGGAACACCAATAAGAAGTTATCAAGATAGGGGCTTCCCTGGTGGCACAGTGGTTGAGAATCCACCTGTCAATGCAGAAGACACGGGTTCGAGCCCTGGTCTGGGAAGATCCCACATGCCACGGAGCAACTAAGCCCGTGCTCCACAACTACTGAAGCCT